TAAAATTTATTCAACAATTTCTTTTTCTTTTTTCTTTTTTTTTTTTCGAAAAATCGATACTCACGTGCGATTTGATCTTTGCTGAGTTGAATTTCATCCTAAAAATGTAAAATCGTATACGTATTTATTAACAAGATTTGTTAATTGTAACGATTAGCAATCGACGATTATTATAATCGGATATTCTTTAAATTTAATGTCAAAATCCAATAGTATTTTCTTTTATAATTACCATTTTGACGATATTGTATTAAGAAATTAATCACAGAATCACAAAAGTTATCACAGAAGTAAATTGATTTTAACAGTTCCCGTCTGAACAATCGCTTCTTACTGTACCGATGGAATTGTCACACTGAGCCTTAGTAAATTAATTAGTAGAGCTGCACAGACGCAATCACGCATTCTTATTAGCGTCGATAAACAGTCACCAATCATCTGTCGAGCTAAAGATACTATAAAAAGATTCTTAATTGGGACCCTTTGATATGGTTCACGCTTTGCGAAACGTATAGTGTTTTGGCTGAACGAAATCGATGACGAACTACGTCGATGTTTAAATCGATTCTTCCCTCGCGTATAATTTACATCAAGAATAATACAATAAAACGAAATTTCCTTCGAGAAATTAATTCGATGAATATTTTACTTACCTTAATTCTTGAATAATAATTTAACACATTTTCCCATATCGAAATCTCCTTAATAAAATTTAAAAAAAAGAAACTTTCTTCTAAGTTTCTAAATACCTGAGACTAGATAGAGAGAACATTGTTTCGCAATTGTTTCTACGAATTTTTTGAAAACTGCGAATTCAACGAATCGAATTGAACGTGGCGAAAAATATTTTCTTTATCGCTGATATAAATCGAAAAGAATATTCTACTCAACCCCTCTATTCGATCCAAATGTTTCACGAACAACGATCCATCATCCTTTTTCCTTTTAACAAAATTTAACAAAGCTGAAGGGAATTGAGACTAAACGCATCAAGACAATCGGAAGATAAATTTCACCGTGATTCATCCCAACTTTGCGGGGAAAATGGGGGCGCATCGTTACATCATTTGGCAATGTCAAGCTCACGCGAATCCGGAACTGCGATTGGCAGCGGGCGTAGAAAGCCGATGATGACGCGGTGTTGCGTATAGGCAGCGGTCATTTGCCACGGCACACGGTGGGCGAACACGCAAACGGTTATACCGATTGCGACCGAGTTGATCCAATACAGCGGTTTGATATTGGCATTGCGTCCTTTTAGAGGATTGCAGTGGATTGCCAGCCGCGCGAGCGTGTAAAAAAGCTCGCCTGGCACCACAAGAGGAGACCGAATCATCTTGACCGACCTCGTTCGGCCAATCAGATCGGGAGCCTTCGACGAACCGACTGAGTTACGAACTACTGACCTAATCGTCAAAAATAAAACGACAGGCACCGCGGCCAATCATAATAATCGGCCATTGTTCCGTTGGGGAATTTTGCAATTTTGCGTATATAAAACGGAACAATCGGGGACGTAATCCAACGACAGCCGATCGATTCCAATTTTTTTTATTTTCGTCGATCGAGAGTATAACCTCTTTCATTCGTGATTATACAGGGGATCGTTGAAATATTGACATTGACACGCGTATCTTTGGGCCGTCCGCCAGATTTAACGAAAGTCGATCCGACGAGGCGAGAACGAAGAACTCGCCTCTCGTTTAGCGTCTCTCAACTGATGATCGGTCGTTTTTCTCGATCGCGTCAACGAATGTGCATCGTCGGATATATCGTTGCGATTATTTACGTCTTTATATGGAAAATTATATGTATTTAGAGAAAAAGAAACGAATATCTGTTTGTGCTCCATCATTAAATTCCAATCACTTTTTTATTTCCTATTTGCGATTTATTACCGTGAAACTGTATTATACTTTCGTTAGAAAATTCCTGAACAATGCTATTGTAATGCATCTTCTCTAAGAATGATAACAGCAAAGATTCCGACAAAAATCTGAAACGTTGAGAAACGCTGAAACCACGACACTGGCCGCGTTGCGAAACGCGTGTAGAAGTTAAACGACTTCGAGAGATCATCGCTTAATCCTTGTAAAACAGGTCGCGGTCCAATAATAAGTATCGAATATCGCGAAAATTAAATTAGATCGTAAATACTTCGTAGCCACGCTCGTATTTGGAATCGGTTCGGGAGGCCGATTTAATCACGCGAGAAGGATGATGAGGCGGAACCGGAGGGGCGATCGACTTCCGTCTCTCCGCCAGCCCCCACAAAGCCAATTGAGACTCGTTCGTCTCCACCGGCGACACGTAACTGTTTCTATCGCTCTGCGAGCTCGTTCTAGATCTCCATGTTCGTCCAACACGGGGCGGCAATGGTGTAACGTATCCATCCTCGTTCGTCCTGCTCGCGTACTCCAACCGCCTCTCGCGCTTCTCGTTCGCGTCGACACCTTTGGGAAGCACAATGGCGTCCACGTTCCTGCGTTTCACCAGCATCACGCGTTTACTTCCTCGAAGCAACGTGGGGTGTCGCCTTATCAACAGAAACGAGAGGAAACCGCCCACGAGGAAGAGCAGAAGCAACGAAGCGATCGATAATGGGAGGACGAGCGTTTTGTCGGCGTTCGTCAACCAGCTCCTCGACTCGTAAGCGGCACTCGTAGTCACGGCCAAACAATTCAACGGGGATATAAATTTCCCGTTATCGTCGAGCAAACAGATCGTGTACGCCGTCTGCGGATCGATATCCTGCACGAGATAAGACCGTCTCGTATTTTTCGCGCATCTCACGGAGCTGTACACGTTGTTATTGTCGAACCAGAGCAGAGTGACACCCTCGGCCAGATTGGGCAGGTTCACCATTACGCTGCGGTCTAGGATCTCGGAGACGTAGAAATTGGGAAATCGAGGGTAGAATTGAGCGTCTGTCGAGCGCAACTTGCGCGAGTTGTAAGTTTGTAGGACGTACGTGTCGGTAACGTTACAATTCACACGGATGAATTTGTTGGTGGTGGTGGTGGTGGATATTTGAAGTAGGGTCGAAGTGTTAGATCCTGGTAAGGTGTTTAGTATCGTGGAAGTAATGGGCGACTCGTTGCAAGAGAAACTCGCTACCGCGAACGATTTTCCAGCGTTCGTCGACGGCGTGTTGCAAGTTGGATTGTCTATCATGCTCGAATGATCCTTCATGAAATCTTGCATCCATTTTAAGTTGCAATCACAATGCCAAGGATTATTTTGCACGTACATGTGGAAACTTTTGGTGGAGCTGATCGTCGAATCGATCAGTCCCTCTGGCAATGACGTTATCTTGTTTCTGTTCAACGTCAAAAGCAATATGGACGAAGACATAGGTTTCAAGACGTCCCGGGACACTGTCTCGATGTTGGAGTCGTGCAAGTAGAGCGATTCGATTCTTGGCACCCCTGAGAACAATTCCTCGTCGATCCTGGATATAATGTTTTTGTATAAAGATAGCAATTTTAAGTTGAACAACTTGTCCGCGCCCGTTATGTTCTTAAGCACTTCTCGATCGTCGATGGCTTGGCACAGTTCCAGGTTGGTCAAAGAACCCGCCACCTCCTCGAGCAGATTAAATTCGGCCGACTTGATTATGTTCTCTTGTATGCTCAGCTGTTGCAACGCGTCGAGGTGACGAAACATCGCCTTGCGCAACGACACGATCTTGTTGTTGACGATGATTATCTTGCTCGTTTTTTCGTAAATCGACGAGGCGAACGCGTCGTCCTCTATTTCTTTGAGGGAGCATCGGTTCAACGTTAACTCTTCGATCGACAAGTTGATGGTCAGCCAATTCTTTCGAAGCGTGTTGTCCGGGAATTCGCAATCTTCGATCGACAACTTCACCGATTTCGCATTCTTGCAGTTTGCCTAAGCGAAATTTTAATAACGTTACAATGCAATGCTTGGGAAATTAATTTTCAATTATAAAAGAAAGAAATCGTTAATCACGAATCGTCGATTGTAAGTAAATTGATTGGCAATTGTCAATTCGTGAACAGAATTGAAGTTATAAATATTGTGCATATCATAATTCGTTATTAATAATGGTAAATATTTTTTTATCACACTGCGATCCGAGAGAAACCTGATTGAAACAAGTTGCGATTTTATAGCGGTATTCGACGAGTTTATTTTTTTAATGATGCAATACACGCCATTCCTTGCATTTCCTTTTCGTCGAACGCGTAATTGTGCGTTACAGCTACAAAATCACAACAACAAAATCCTTTATCCAACTCGTCACGCGCGTAAATGGTCGGAAAATAGAAACAGAAATTTTCATTATTGATCTCTCTTAATACCTTAAAGTCATTCTCGATATACGTTGACACCACTGTTTCGATATTGTCCTCTTTCGAGATGGACGTGCAAATTATCGTGTCGCATGATTTAATCTGGCAATACAACTTCGTAACCTTTCTTTCCCCAAACATCTTTCCGTCCAAAGATTGAAATTGAAATTCCGTCGATTTTCCAACATAGGTATAATTTTCTATTCTTTTGGGAAAGGCATTGGTATCCGTAATCTTGTAGTTTAACATATTGAAAAATGTGTAGCACGACCAGAATAAAAGTACAGCGATTCCAAACGTCGAACCAAGAACTAGAAGTCTTCGCCAAACAAAACTGCACGCTCATTAACGTGCGAAATGATTATTTTTGTATCCGATCAAATTGAAGACTGAATGCAAAAATATTCTTTTCTTCGAGTCGAGTTAAATAATCGAAAATCACATTTTTAAATTTTAATTTTAATATATATTTCGTATTCAGCCTCCAATTAAAAATTAAAATTTGCGCAACAGATAAAAATGAATTTTTTCGATCGATACCTTACTAATTCCCGAGATTTCGAAACCTCGATCCACGAGTTTCTTAATTTTTTACAGAACATTTACGCGCGTTGTCGATACTGCACGAGGGAACAACAATTGCAACTATCCGACTAATGCAATCCAATTGTTCTAGAACGTGTGTGTCAATCTGTATCTATCCGTATATTTCCGATTGATTAATTTTATCGCATTAGCCGTACCTATTTGAACGCTATTAGGGAGAAAGGTGGCGATAAAAGGTGGGAATAATGAAATATTTTTTTTTTTTAATCGTCTACAATTTTTGCGATTGCGGTAATGGACAAGTGGAAATAGATAAAATATAGATTGATTCAGGGATAATTACGCATGGCTTTCAACATGCACAGTTTGAAGCTAAGAGCGACGTCACACGCCTTGTCGTTCACGCCTAAAACTGAAACATCGATAATTACATTTCTGTAATTTTAATATCGATCGATAATGAATGCAATTTACTTACATTTTATGTAAATCTCGTCCTCGCACGTTAACGCGATTCTATGGAAAAATGTTTTAAGATTTTCGTCATCGTGATATTTCTTTTCAATAATTCCTGCTATGTTATACGTGCTCAAATCAGAGCCACTCATCTGAAGTAAAAATAAAGAAGAAAGAACGTGTTAATTTATTGGGTGCACGTGGATTCGCATCGTGGATATTTGTCTTACCACGCCAGATTGTTGCCAAATGCAAGCTAAGAAACAGCCATAGCTCTTGAAATTTTCCTCTTCGTTTATCAATTTTATTCTTGCCTCCGACGAGTCACGAAGTTTCATTAATTCATCTGCAATTTATGAGGATTTATTCATTTTTTTTTTTTTCTAAAGAAAGCTATAAAATAATTTTTGCGAATATTGTAAATATAACGAAATCGCAAGTTATGAATTTTATAAATTTTAAAATTTATGAAGAAGCTCGTTTTATTATAATAATCTCAACTTATAATTTCGTTACGAGATATTTATACTTACGAAATGTCATGTTTGATCGATCCATGCACTCTCCAATATCTTGAGAAATATCGATGCTTCTTGCACGTAAATTTCGAAGCCCCTGAATAGTACAATGTTATGCTATTACGCAAATGTATAATTTATAAATTAAATAATTTATAATCTATTCTTACAAGACATAGAATAAACCAGATATAAACGAACGATGAGTTCTTCATGCTCCGAATTTGTATTACGCTTCCTTTCAACGCGAGACTATCTTGCAATATGTTACACGCGAGATATTATTCGTTATATTGTTTGTTTCGTATGGAATTGAACAATAAAACCAAAAGATTGATATCAAGAGAGAAAATTATGTATAATATATATATACACGATACGTACGATAATTACAATAGTTAACTTATTATATAACACTTAACAAACGAGAGAATTATTCACTGTGAACGATCAGTATGTGTATGAGTAACACTGTACAAATATGATGCACGCGAAATGAAATATCATTTCGAAAAAGGAAATGAAAGAATCTTCGCATCGCTGTATTATTATAAATCAGTACAAATTTATTTATTTCCATTTCAAGATTAAAGCAACGCAACACTTGGGTAAAAATATTTGGCAGATTCAAAATCGAACACCTTTGTAAATGAGTGAAACTACAATTGTATAGCTTGTATAAGATATTAGCTTGTATATAAACAATATGAAACGTAGATACACGTATCGATCAAAAGAAACTATCAAATTTTCGATCAACTTTATCATCAGTTCGTAATGAATAAAATTATTGAATTCTGTGCACGATTGATGATTTCAAACTTTTGATCGACAGTGTATATCCAGATTATCCAGATTATCAGTTTCATCGACACTTGCAGCAATTGTGGAAAGACACGTTTTCTCTTCCCTCGGTCACTTCCTCGTCTACTGTGTTGGCCAAAAGCCTGCCACGCGTTTCCGGCAATATCGAGCATAACAAACCAGCTATTAGCGCTAAACCACCACAAAGTGTAGTGGGCCCCCACCATATCAGGGCCCCTAATAAATCAGCAACGTAAGGCGCAGCCACGCTTCCAATATGGGACATTGCGGAATTGATGCCCACCGCAGAATTCCTGCATACCTGTTCTCGAAAATAATTCAAACATGGTAAAAGATTAATTAGAATTCTCTGTACTACTACCTGAAAATTTGTCGAAGAAATTGCAAGGTTTTGATTAAGTACCATGGAAATGAATATAAAATAAATAAAATTCTACACAATACACAAAGTTATTGAAGAAATTGTGTGATCACGGATTAAATAAAAATAAATAAATAAATTATGCGAAAAGATGAGTTCAAGTACTGTTTGAAGAAGATACAAGGTAAGAAGTTAAAAGAGATAGGAAATATGAAATGGATAAAAGTTCTATAATATGAAAGAATGGAGGTGCATTTACCGTGGGAAAAAGTTCTGAGCTGTACAAAATAACTATGCCATAAGCGGCTGATGCGCTAAACCTTCCGATCAAAGATATAAGCATAATCACATCCGTTTCGCTGGTCGGTATAACTAGAATGCACAATAAACATAACGCAGCAATGATGTATAAAATCTCACTTCCGAGACGTCGTCCTATCATCATTAGAATAGGGGTCGGTATCAGGTAAGCTGGTATCTCGGTTAAACCCATTACGAGGACGTAAATGTAACGATTTGTTGAGAAATTGTTCACGTTTAACGCTGAAATGTAACACGTTTTAAAAACAACTTCCCAATAAGGAAAAAAATAGAACGAATACAATAATTACTTAATAAAAAAAATGCAATCAGAATTTTAAAGATAATTTTTATGATTTGAAAGATAGAAAGCCCGATCTCGTGTTTACCTAACGCATAATAAGTCAGAGACGCAGTCATCCAAGTAAAATTTGTGATAAGAATTCTCTTTCGTAATTCACCGTTGCTAATCAACACTTGAAATCCTTTTATGATATTTTTCTGCAATTTATTCTCCATGCTCTTTGATGTCAATTTCGGACTAACCGTTATATCATTCGTATCTCTCAACTCTTGCTTTTCTATGGTTAACGATACCGTGCTCATTGTATCATCAATTCGATTCATTTTAGACGCCTTATCGATCAAGATCTTCGCCTCTTTTCGACGATTGTGCGCTATCAACCATCTTGGAGATTCCGGCATGAACCTGTAAAAAATTATCTTTATATTCGTTATAATAAATTTCTCGAGTTAACTTAATAACTGATTAAATTCTTGGATTTAGGTAACAATTCAATTCAAAGAGAAAAATTATTTCGAGAAACGGCAAGATTATTTTGACGATTTTAGCACATTACATAATTGTGTACTTACCACAGATGTATTAACAAAAGCAGAGCCGGCAAAGATATCGCTAATTGAATGTGTCTCCATTCGTGTAACAAATAAGCTATACCCGGTACAATGACTATACCTGTAGCGTATCCAGTATTGTAAGCGATTCCCATCCACCTTCTATGCTTTTCACTTGCTACCTCTGTAACTGTACAAACAATTGAAAATTATACACGTATTGATCATAGTGAAATATAGTCTCGAATAATTGCATATACGTGGTTGAAGAAATTTTGGTTAAAACGTTTCGTGAAACGGAATAGATTAAGTTTTCGTGTTTTTTTTTTATTAATGCTAAATCGCTACGTATATCACAGCTTCGTTAACACATGTGTGCAACTTACGTGTCGTGAAAGACGAGTACTGTATAGCAGCGTGACTGGCACCGTTAATTAGCCTCGAGATTATAAAAGCCCAGTACCACGGTACAACAGCACCAGCCGGACCCGACGTGATCAACATTATTATACCAACGGCGTAACATATCTTGCGACCATATTTATCCGCCACGATCCCGAAAAAAGCACTGCCCAATAATTTTCCAAGGGACAAAGCCATGTGAGTGCTCGAACGATCAGCTGTTCTCTCGCACACCAAATCCCACTAAAATTATTTATCAATAAAATGTGAGAATCAATCGTGATTCTGGTATAATTGAATTAATTTTTTTTTAGAAGAATTCAATTTCAAGGGGACGCAAAAATATACGATAAAGAAAATCTTACATCTTTTATGAGAGTTTTATATCTCAAATTAATTGTGAATGGTGAAAATGTTGTAGATGTCGTTGCAATATTGAGAATCGAACAGGATAAAGAAAACTTTATGAGGAGAGCAGCTCGAGGAAAATAGGAAAATAGCGGTGTCATCATTACATGATTTTATTAATACTCAAATTTATTAATACTCACATCTTGAACGAGAGAAGTTCCATCGATATCGTTTGCGAAGCTCCTCGATTGACAAGGAATCGACTCGGGTAGGGTGTGAGAAATTTTGTATTCCAAGGCTTCCTCGTATCCGATATGCGCGAAATACTCGTAGTCGTAATTGTACATCGTGCACGAACCGGATGAAGAGATATTTCTTATTTCTTCATCCGTCCAATTTGCAGCCGTCAAACTTGGTATCGCGCACCAATGTGTGGGAACCTGTAAAGAGAAATAATATTTTTATCTATTTCTAATATAATTAGACATTAAGTATCGATCGAATTTTTAATTGGAACTGGAATATCTCTTATTTCAATTTTAAATAAGTCCAGATCTATGAAAATATCACTTCAAATGTACCATTCATCGATAAACGAGTTAATCTTACTTCTGCAATAAAGATGTAGGACATAGAGTGCATTCCATTGAATATAGTCGGCGTGAGGGTAAAAATAAATATTATCCATAGAAAGTTGGATCCACAACCCAATTTATCGAGCGCCTCCAAAAGAGGATCCGTGGATTTCGTTCTTTCTATATCGTTATCTTGGTCAGTTATCATGTTCCTTTCTCTGAGAATCAAATAGAGATAAACCATTTTCAAATTATTTGGAACGAATAATAATAAATTTGATTTTGAATCGGTATTGAATATTTATCCAAAAGAAATAGTAAAGTATATTATTAAGTATATCTAAAACTAAGGAAAATAATGCTAACCGATTATTTAATATTCTCTTCAAAATTGATTTCACTTCGATCATCCAACTATTCAATCTTTCATTTTTTTATTCTCAAGAGAGATCTTTAATGAATCAAGAATCATTCGTGTTTCATTGTATCTATTCCCTCATATATAATTTACAAATTTTCCACAAATTCTTTTTTTATCACCAATATTTTCTCACTTATTGCTACAATCATCGTTCAATTATTTTCATTTAATGAATAAATTTGAAAATAATCAATAGTCAATAGAGATCATGCCACTTTTCCTTAACGTTCATCTATTTCACTATTTAATTGATTAATCGTATTCCAATCAACACGATTCCACTACATCGTTCAACGTTTCTTGTGTCGAAGGCCTATGAACGTGTACGAGCGACTGACGATCGACAGTCGTTTCCTCCACCACGTATCTAGATAAGCATACTGGTCAGGTAAAGTCGTAGTAGAAATTACGCATACCAATTGCAATAATTATACGATAACGATAATCGGTCGATTGATTCAGACTCGTGGTCAGTGTCCTCGATTCTTAAACGAGACATTGTCACAATTCCATCGATTTCAATATTCTCACGATTTTATATCAAAGATTAATCATGGAAATTTTATATAAATATTTATCGTACACTTGTTAATCTTGATTTTTTCTCGACAGGTTTCCACATTTGCGCTTATTAAATTGTAAACTCATGTTTATAACTCATTAAAAAGGGAATAAATTAATATATATTTGTGATTTTACATTCCTATCTGTATAATTACTTATTTGAACGAAATATGTATAAAATATGTAAAAAAGAAAAACAATCATGATGAAGAAATAGTATAAACTTTTACAAAAAATTGTTGTTATCGTAAACAATTTTTTATCTTGGAGATATAATAAAACATACTTTTGAAAGTAGTTGTATAAGCCATTAAGAAATTATTTCTGTAATTATTTCTAAAAAAAAAAAAAAACAAATGTCGTGAAGAAAACAGCTGGCAGCACATTTTCCATCGCGTTTACGATAACATCGTTATTCGAACAAGCTTTGTCGAAAACGAGATAATATGAAACAGTAGGTACGTTACTGAGACGATGAACAGATTCACCGGATGCATTTACTTACAACTTATCAGACGAGAAAGCTTATTACAATGATACGAGCTATCAAATTTATGCGATTAACGTAGGCGTACGCGATTTGCAACAAGCGTTACTACGCCAGAGAAGAAAAGAGGGAATGTTTAATTGTATACATTTCACAGCCACGGTTGGTTAAGCGACTTGCATCGAGAATTA